ATACAATAAATTTATTTGATAAAGATAATTAATCATTGAATTAATTAGATATCTTAAGATTTTAAATATCTGATAAGTTTTGATGTTTTATTTAATCATTACTACTAATATATTATAAATTTTTTTAAAACATTATTATGGTGTAAGAATCAGATTTACAATCAACTTTATAAAATGAGAGAATAATCTTAACAGATTTTCCAATTTTGATTTCAGTCTTTGATATACATTTTTGATCTCAATTTGGGACTTCTTTTAAATGCTATTAATAAATAAATGGTATATATTTAATATTTTATAATGGATACATATAATCTCAGGTAATATTAAATAGGCAAATTATTGCAAATAGCCCTAGATTGATTATTCTGGAATAATCAACTTTTAATAGTTCTAAATACTATTTGCATAAGCCTACTTATTGATTTGGATCTGAACATGTCTAATTTTCATGACAATACTAAGACTTTTCTTATCCACAATAACAATTTGATGTCTTGTTGCTTGTACATTTTTGAACACAAACACTTTATAATGTTTCAAGATTTTAGCATTTAAAACCAGATTAGCAAATTAATTTCTGATCTACACTTTTTTCTGTACTTCCACAATAACAATTTGTTTCACCATTTTCTTTGCAAGTTGGTACACATATTCCAGTCACATCATTATAGACAGTATTAAATTAATCAAGGCAAGCTTAGTTTTCAGATAATATCAAACAATTTTGATTATTTACAGAAGTACATTATTACATACAAACACCTTTGGATTATAGTAAACAATATGTAGATGATTAGCAAATTTCGATGGAATCAATTCCACATATACAATTATTTTAATATTATTGACATTTTTCTAAACATTTTCCTTTAAATGATACAAAGCCTATACAATATTAATTCTATTTGCAATGTGCTTGATTAGTGAAACCACATGTACAATTTGATTAAAATTATGATGTACAAATACCTAAATTACAAATTCCATTATCTGCATATGGATCAACACATCTTTCACCATTTGAACAAACCTATTTCACCTTATTTCCACATATACAATTTGATTATTAATAACTAGAACAGTATTCTAAACAAATTCCTTCTTATTTTGATGAACAATAAGTTATAGATGAGCATTATGAATATAATGATGTTCCACAAACACAATTACTTTAGAATTCATTACATTATTATATACAAGTACCTGTAAGTTATTTAACATCAAGGCAATGTTCATTTACACTACAAAAAGGAGTTACTGAATTACCACATAAACAATTTGTTTATAAATTATTTTGACACTTTTCTATACAATTACCATTTTAATCATTAGGATTCTAACATACTTAAGTTTGAGAACAGGCTATTTTATTAATTGAACCACAAATACAATTAGATTTTTAATTTTGATTACAATATTTTAAGCAAACTCCAGTTGAATCACTTACATTAGTACAATAAGTAGATTCAGAACAAACAGAAATCTAAGTTGTTCCACATTAACAAGAATTATCAAAATTATTAATACAATTTGGTATTGTTATACATTAACCAGTACTTGCACTTGGATCTGCACATGTTTATTAATTAGAACAACCTTATTTTGTAACTGTTCCACAAATACAAGATGATCTAATACTATTAGTACAATTATCATAACATTTTCCAGAAGTAGCTGAAGCATTCAAACAATATTTAGAATTATTACAATTGCTAAATTGATTTTATCCACAAGAACAATTATTTTAAAAATTTGTAGTACATATATTCAAACAATTACCTGAAATAGACATATTATATTCACATCTTTAAGTAGAATTACAATATAATATAGTTGCTTATCCACAGATGCAATCATTTACTGTGGAACCTTAGCATTTATTAAGACAAAATCCATTTGCTGCATTTGGATCTTTGCAATAAGTATTGGAACTACATTATTATTTTATTGAGATTCCACAAGCACAATTACTTTAATTAATTGATGAACAATTTGCCAATGCAGTCACACATACATCACTTTAACATTATTTAGTTGAATCACAATAAGATTTACTTTAAGATCCACATATACAATCAGAAGTTAATGATACAGAACAAGCTTATTTACATTCTCCAGAGGAAGCACTTGGATCAACACAATAAGTAGTTGAAGTACAGCTTTATTAGGTTGAACTCCCACATAAACAACTTGCATCAAAGGCAGATCCACAATTTGCCAATGCAGTCACACATACATCACTTTAACATTATTTAGTTGAATCACAATAAGATTTACTTTAAGATCCACATATACAATCAGAAGTTAATGATACAGAACAAGCTTATTTACATTCTCCAGAGGAAGCACTTGGATCAACACAATAAGTAGTCGAAGTACAGCTTTACTAGGTTGAACTCCCACATAAACAACTTGCTTCAAAGGCAGATGCACATGGGCTCACACATACATCACTTTAACATTATTTAGTTGAATCACAATAAGATTTACTTTAAGATCCACATATACAATCAGAAGTTAATGATACAGAACAAGCTTATTTACATTATCCTGATGTAGCTGCAATATCTACACAATAAGTAGTGGAGATGCATTCTACTGAATCTCCTCCGCATCGACATGAATTGGAATTTAAATTTGAAGTACATTTTTATTCACATACTCCAGCTGATGCTGATATATCAACACAAACCTAGGTTGAACTACAAGCAACTATGGTAGATGTTCCACATATGCAATTTGATTTTTTTGAAGAGGTACACATCTAAATTGTACATTTTGAATCAACCCATTCATAGGGTTAAACACATCTTGATTATGTCCTATATCGAATTGGATAGCAATTATCAACACATCCAATATAGTTATTACAAGAGGAGCTGTTTATTCCACCACAATTTACACACTATAAACTCGTGGAAAGACCACATCCTGATTGAATGCATGATTCATTTGGTACACTGGGACAATTTGTACAAGCTAAATTATACCAACCACACATATCTGAACATTTCACTTCAGTATTCTAAATGGAACATTTATAGCAACTTGAATTTCCAGGCCACCAACCACAATCTGATGTTGCATCACAATCAGATGGCCATAAAAAATCTTCACATGATTAAGCCATTGTTTATTATGGTGTCAAACAAAGAAGGATTAACAAAATCATAGATGACTTTTTAATATTCATTTTAATGATTTTTAAAAAGAAATTTGAAGATATGAAGCAAGGATTTAATTAATAAATGTTAATTTTTCTTGATTTAATAAAATTTTTAAAGGCACTAAAATTATTCAAATTTAAGAATGCTCAAATCAATATATAATTTGTTTAGCATAATCTCAGGTCAAATAATATATTATTTTTTAATTCAAATTCTCTGACTTCATTAGTGAAACCTGGTACTCATTATTGATGACGTACTAAGTTTATTACAATGTAATTAAAATTCCATAAAGAGAAGGTTCTAGAAAAGCCATCTCGTCTTTATTATCCATTACAAGTAGAAATCAGGCACAATGGCGATAAATACATGGCTTAGTTTTTGAAACTTAGTCTAAATGTCCTGGACCAAACAGTTTTGAATCAAATATTATTTTATTTAAAAAATTTCTGTATTTTAGTAGATAATCAAAAAACAATTTTTGTTTTAGGTTTATCAATCACTTAAATTTTATATGTAAACTAAATGCTATAAAAACTTCCTTCATTCAAACAAGTTTTTTTTTTACAAATAAAATTTAAATAATATTTTTGTACAATTTTCTTTTTACTAAAGTTATTATTCTTCCTTTTACGATTCTAAATTTTGTACTCCTCACCCTCTTTCTATGAAAATCTTTGCAAAATATAGTACTTCTCAAATTTTAATATAAATCCTTTTTTTACAATATTAATATATTATATATTCTTTCATTAACTGATAAAGCTTAGAATATCCTCTTGATGTTGAAAAAGCTCAAAATATCATTTAAAAGTTATCCTTAATTCATAAAAATTTAAAAGTTCATTTTATGAACATTTCAATAATTGAGAAAAGCTCCCATTATATTCCATAATTTATAGATTTAGTTTCTAAGATTAATAGATTCATTTAATTTACTCATTCTATTCATTCTAAGAAAACATGAAGTTATTTTAACATTTAAGTCTTTTAATATAAATTAATTTTTTAGAAATTTTAATCTAAAGTTATATTTTATTGAGTTAATACAAAGATGATACTTGCATTGGTACAAATATACGATTAAATCTCCAATTATTTTCAGACGATGCTAGTTCTTGAAAAAAACAAATTATATAAAAAAAACATTAAAATCATTAATTTAATTTTTTTTTAATTAATTTATTTTGAATGTTTTGTTTGAATTTGGAATCAGGAAGGGTCAAGCAGAATTAGAGTCAAGAAAGTTGTTTAATCTCTTCGAGGGTGATTCCAATCTGAAACCTGCCATTCAAGTGAATAATTGAAGCGTTGAATAATGTAACAAATCTGAAATTTAAACTAATAAAAATGATAGATATACATAAAAAATTTCTCCATCAAGAACTTAATGTTGCAAAAGTAGTAATTTGAAAGGGAGTTAAGCAAAAATCAAAATAATTAGATAACTTAAATCAATAAAATGTCATTGTATCATCTTATTATAATTTAATGAAATTCAAAATTATTGTATTTATATACAAATATATTAATCTACATTAAATTTATATAACTGGATTTACTAATTTATTCCGAAGAGTTATATCTCTAAAGATGAGTGATTATGGTGATTAGTATGAGATTATAAGATTTTTGGCTTACCCTAAACCTCAGATTGCAAAGCTAAACCCAAAAAAATTTCGGTTCTAAAAGATAACTAATGAGTTTTCATTGGGAAACTAATCCTAAATTTGACTTCTTTATTCTATGTTGAGAAGAAATATACAGGTTACAATTTTATATTCAAGATTTATTAACACTCAAAGACAAAGACAAAGATGAAAATTTATGATTTTATCTTGGCATAGAAATCAGACAGTTGCTTCTCTTGCCAAAAAGGTTACACCATTAGCATATATGCTGCTTTAACTAAACTTATATTAAAGATTGTGCATAATTTGGATGCTGAAGGGTTATCTAATTAGGGATATTTACATAAATTGGAATAGAATTCTAATTAAGACTAAGAAATTATTAAGAATTTTGCAAATCCAAATAGGAGTAAACTCACCTAAAACATAATTTTGAAATTATATTATTATTTATAACATCTTAAAATAATTGTTTTCTCTTATAAGACTTAAGAGATTACTAAAATTTTTTTCGAGTAAATCATTATTTCTTTATTTTAAGTTAAAAGAGCAATTTATAAAAATTAGCTTTTTATAACAGCATGCTGTCCAATTGTAATTAAAAAATATAAATTTAGAAATTCCGTCTGAAGCATCTCAGAAATAAGAAAGGAATTATTATATACATTCAAATCTGTTGATAAGAAAGGTAGGTCAGATAATAATTATATTATAAAATATATAGATATTTATAAGATGTGAAAGAGAGGATTATTTCTAAATGCATTTGATCTTAGTAGTAGAATTCTAAAGGCTCATTTTATTAATAATATTTGGCTTTACTCTCAATTCAAGGGGATACAAATTATTTTTAGAATTGAGAGAAAAATTATGAAAGAATATTAATAATCTAAATCCTCTGCATTTGCCAAATTCAATAAAAAATCCTCTCCTTACTTTAAAAATTTCTTAACTGTTAAATGATTCAAAATAAAACCTAATAAAATAAAATTAGGATTGTGGTTGAGTTTTACTCAAACTTCTTGAAATGATAAAATAATATTTTGTATAACTTCTAGAGTTAATGTTACAAAAAAAATTAAACAAATTGCAAAAAATATTTTTTTCATCAAGGAATTTTCAAAAAATATTTACTTTAGTAATGAAAAAAGTTTTGGAAATAGTGAAAACTTTTAGAAATTGGTATTTAAATGAAAATTTTGTCTCTATATAAAGACTTTTTTTTGATAAATTGAGTAGTAACAAAGATGCTGAGTATTTAGCTTTTAGGTAACTTCAAGTGCTGAAATTTCAGAATTATAGCTTATTTTTTAGGAGAAATCTATAAATTTTTCAAAGCTCATATGTATGCATTACATTCTAACTCAATAGAAAAATAGAAGACAAAAAAAATTGCCTTCAGACTTCTCCTTTGTGGAAATATAATTGGAACAGTAGAACTTTAATTTAATTATTTATACGATTCAAACATGATGATAGAACTGTCAAAATATTAAATCTTACCTCTTTTTTACTTTAGATATTTACAATAACCATTTATGAGTGAGTCTCATTTTAATTAGCTTTTTATACATAATAATTATCTGTCTTAAAGTTAATTAAAATAAAAAAATGATTAAATATTTAACAATAAATTAAATTATGGGATAACCTTAAACACAGAAAGATGTATCCATTATTTCTTTATACCATGATTTAGTTTAGTGTTTGTGAGGAGACTAATGAAAGAATGTTTTTTATATCTGATTAAAATATAGTTTGTTTATTATTAAAATATAGTTGATTAATTTTTATATTTATAAGTTTAAGTTGAATAGCCATAAAGTTATTGAATAAAACAGAATATAGGCATTTTATTGTGAAAAAAAGATTGCTAAGAAAACTATATGGTGAAATTTTATCCTAGATTTTTGAAAGAGAATTAATAAGAATAAAGAATATGTGGATGATTCAAAAATCAATGATAATATAATAATTTTCAATATTATCTGGCACCAGCCTTACTAGATCTTGTATTAGTTTATTAAATTGTAGTAGTTTTTTCAGTAGTAGTCATAGTTTTTTATTTTTTCAAAGAATCTAATTCAGCTTAGGCCATCATCCATTATTCTTGGGCAGTGTGAAAGTCTTGATTGGCTTTCATAAATCTCTCTTTCCAAATATCTGCTTCATTAGAATAATATTTCAATTTTTCAGTAGTTTATTAATATTCACTCATTTCTTATTCTAGTTGTCTAATCATTTATTTATATTCTGCAATTTCTTGATCTTTATTTCTAATTTATTATATTATATATTTATTACTAAACTAATCTCATGTAATTTTGCATTTCTACATTTTAAGAATTTAATGCATTTTCTAATTTCAAGATTTGTCTTTCTTTTTCAGCTAAAGCATCCCTTAATTATCTAACTTCTTCTCCTCCTTATAATAATTATTAAAACTCTAATTATAATTTGGAATATCTTTATCTCCAAGAATCAATTTCACTTTATTGATTATTTATTTCTTTTCTCAAAGCATCCTCAATATCCTTCATCATTTTAATTTTTGCTTCCAATTCTCTTACTTGAAATTCTTCATTTGATGTAACCTTTAATTCTTATCCTTAATTCTTAAATCTGGCTAATTCAGTTTACAAATCAAATATTTTAATTTCTAATTCAACACATTTCTTTTTCCAAGGTTCTTCTACATCCTCTACAGAGAGAACTTACAATTCTCTTTCAACATGATACATCTCATTAATTTCAGGTTATTAAGGAGGAGAAGGAGCAGCAATAATAGGTTATTATGGAGCAGAAACTATGGGTTACTAATATTAAGGAATTTTATATTCATGAGTATGATGCCTATTTGAATTAATTTATTAATTACGTATGATGTTATTAGATTGTTTTAACATGTTGATTTGATTATGTATATAATTGACTCTAAGCTGCTTATTGCTAATATACCATTGTAGGTTAGGGGGATATTAATTTCATTTAGACAGGTGATTAAAATTGCTAAATAGGAAGTCGCTAATTAGTTTAAGGCTATTATTGATATAGAACAGATTGAACTGGAAGTTAGGTATATTAATTGTTCGTTAACATTAATTATTTATTAATTATCAAGATTAGAATTTATGATCTAACAATCTATTCATCTTATCAATACCTTCCCATATTCCTTCACCTGATTTTGCACTGCATCTTTGCATAATCACATCTGAATTTGATTATTAAATATCTACTCCTAATTCCATGAACTAAGAATTTGGTAAATCAGACTTATTCAAATAAATTAATAACACTATCTAGATTAGTTTGTTAATTACCTTTGTTTTTACATCATCGCTTAACTTTTTCAATTCTTACAAAATTTCTTATTATTTCTCTTGATTTGTACTATCAACAACAAAAACTAATCCATCTAAATTCTCATAATAATGAGACCATAAAGTACGCACTTTCCCTCCAACATCAAAAATCAAATAGAATCTCGATTTATATTAAATTGTTTCAACATTCAAACCTATTGTAGGTTGAGTCTCTGTAAATTTCCCATTTCGCAAATATTATAAAATTGCCGTCTTTCCACTTCCTTCTAATCCTATAATAACAATCTTTAACTTCTTTTAACCCTACAATGCAACACTAACATCTTCTTCCTTTTAAGATGAAGAAAGACACCCCATATTGTATATAATTATAAATATTATTGTTTACATACATCTATAAAAATCATAACAATTTTAATATAATTGTAGAAAGATTTCTATATTTTTTAATAATCTTTCATTCATTCTAAACTTCTAACAAATTGAGTGTATGATATCTTGTTGATTTAAGTCTAATAACATAGTATAATTCTAATAATGTTTGAATATTTCATATTACTCAGAGATTATTCTATGATATTTGTACAAATAGAATTAGATCATCTTTTATTTTTAGAACTATCAAAAAATAAAGTTGTTCTATTTAATAAACATATAAAGATTAAACTGAAAGTACTGGTAATTGTATTACAATTCAAAATTAATATGATACAACTTAGAAGTAATATAAGTGATTCATAAAGTTCTCTGCTCTAATTCTTAATTATGTATCAGAATCCTTTAGATTAATCTAACTTATTATTGCTAAATCCAAATAATATTAATTTCATATTTTTATATGAAAAAGTATTTCAAAATAATTTTCTCAAAATATTGTCATCCTTATTTATTATAAAAAGATTATTTTGCCTTTAATAGATAAGATAATTATTATTAATTTAACGATACATCCTTTTTGTCTATTTACTGAAGAAAAGACTTTTTTTATTTTAATCATATAAGATGGAAGAATAAAGTATTGACAAGTTTAAGATTATTTCTAACAGTAATATTATGGGATGAAATAAATAATAATTATTTAATTTATTGGATATAAAATAAAAATATTTGAATAAAAACTCGATTTATAATTTTGTAACATGAATTATGAAACATAATTAACTTGAGTATTGATAGCAAATTAACTCCAAATAAGAATGTTTAACATATATTTAATAAAAGGCTAAATAATAATTATTTTATATTCTGGCTGATTCTAAAGATCAAAAGACATTATAGAGAATATTACTAATTGAAATATGAAATTAAATATACTAAATAAAAATATTGTCTTATAGATCAATATAGACAGAAATTAGATATATTTAAATTTGAGTATCTTCAATTTTTTGGGAAATCTTTTTTATCAATTCAAAATATAAAATCTGAATAAAAATAAATTATACATGATTTTACAAAAATCCAGTCCAAATAAATAAAAAAGATTGTCTTAGTAGTAAAAATTTTATTCAATTTGAAAAAAAAATTATCTTAACTATTATTAATGATGTAACACTTTTTAATTATATTATAAATGAATTACTATTAACAGATATTTATTATAATAAATATTTATGATAGGTATTTTCATATATATTAAATAATTTTTTTCTTATTTATTATATTGAATAATCTAATATGAACTTGGATGATTAATTAACTAATAAACCAATTAAAAAAAAGTTAAATCACTCACTAACTCAATTGTTTATAAAGTTAAGGATTGAATAAAAATACTTGGCATTTAATAATAATTCAAAATTTCAAATTATTGGATAAGATGAATAAGTTATTATTGCTATTCAAGTTCTTTAGATTAAAAAAATACTTAATCAATAACCATATCAAAGGTATAACTAGTATTAATTTACATGCAAAACTAGTTAATTTATATCAACTTACTAGAACGGTTTAAAAAAAATATTATCTATGTATGGTTCAAATTATATCAAAAGAAACAATCATTAAGAAACTAGCAAAAATTAAATTAATTGCTTAATTTTAAATAAAAAGGACGATGTAATTATATTTGAAATAATGGTGGTTTTATATATAAATGGATCAAGTATAATCTAAAATGGTAATAGCAACAAAAATTAATTGATCACTTTGAGTACACTGTTTATAGTTTAAGTAGTTGAATCTTAAAAGAACTTATATTTGATAGAAGAAATGAATATTTTTGAGAAATATTTGTAATTGAATAGAAAGAAAATCATGAATGGAAGTTAATATTAGATGGATATTAAGGGTATAGAATTTGTTTACTAGTGAGATTTATTTTTAAACTAAACAGAGCAACAATTAAGAAATTAAATAAATTGAATGAAAATAACGGTCAGTATTAATAGCATTATATACAAAAAATGTAAAATATTAGTGAATATTTGTTTGCAATACAAAGTATAAAATAAAGTTTTATTAACTTAAAATTTAATAATCTATTAATTTTTTTATATTTATGGTGGTATAAGTTAGTAATGAAAATACTAATTACTTTTTATTCAAGTTTAAAAAGAAATAAATATTCCAATTTTTTGTAATTATGATTGATTAAAAAATTAATAAAATATTTATTAAACATTGAGAATTTATAATAAGATTTGTAAATTATGAAAATATTTAAATAAAAATCCGATTGAAATTTGATTTTTATATAAATAAATTAAAAATGAAAAATCTTTTTCACATTAATTTACTTTATGAATAATATTAAGAATTACTTTTCCACTCCCTTAAGTCTAATGAGCAAAAATCACTTAAATTCTGAGATAGATGATGAAAATACAGAAAATAATTAATATATCTCTGCTTAGTCTTTCACAATAATTCAATCATGTCTCAGTAAAACCATTATTGAGGATTATCCTATAAATAAATTAAAAAGAAGCTAAGAAAACTAATAAAGTAACTGGAAAGATTCTTTTAAATGGTTGTGATATTAATATTGATTTTTCTATATATTTATTTTAAATAATTCAGTGTGATATAAACTCATCTTAGATGTTTGATAATTCAATAATGGTCTTTTAATAAATTAAAAGGAAATAACATGAAAATTTAATAATAATTATTCATAAACAACAAACTAGCTTTCATAATTTTTTAACTTCTTCTTCTGAAAATTTCATTTTTTCTTTTTGGTTTTCATATAAGGCTAATTATTTTTAATTTAATATTTGAATGCATTGTCGTTAATCATCAGTATTAAGACATAATTTATATTCGTTTAAGTTTGATTAGAATGACACTTCATAAAAATAGAATGTGAAATATGACTTTTTAATTAACAACATTATTTTTGGACTTTAAAATATCCAATTAGCATTAATAACTTTTAGTAAATCTACAAAGACTTGATTTTCTGCTTTTTTATGTAGAATATAATTTTGAAAGTCAAATGTTGAGTAGAATTGATCTATTTAAGTTTTGCTTAAAGTATAATAATTCTAAAATTTACTCTAATGTTTTTAAATATTATTCATTGAAATCTTTGATAGTGAAATATTCATTATGATGATATAGATTCTTAAATGATTAATCTGAAAGTTTTTCTAAAAAATTTCCCATATTTAATTTTAATATAATAATCTTTTAAAGTATTGTTAATAGGGTAGTTAATTATATCTAATTAAAAACCAGAAGTGATATGTCAATTCATATAAAAATATTAAATTAATAAAAATGAGTGAAAAAAAAAATGATTTCTTTTCATTCTTTAATGGTTCTCAAAAGAAAAAGGAAACTAAAAAAATCATCTTTGATGAAAATTTTTTCAATCTTCAAGTTAATGGAGGGAAGATACATAGTGATAAGATTATTATTGAAGCTATTTCTATTGTTGGTAATTGTATTATAATAAATGAAGATAATGAGAAGTTGGAGACTGATATCAAATGGTTTTAGATCTCACCAAACAATGATTTCAATACTTTAGGAATAACGGGAAACTCATATCAACCTAGTATAGAAGATGTTGGTTCCAAGTTTATGATCCAAGTTGTTCCAATTAAAGAGGGTAGACAATATGAAGGAATGCCTAAGTCATTAGAAATAGGACCATTACTTAAAGATGAGTCTATTCAAGAAGAAATTGATGAATTATTGGACAATGAGAAAATGACTGTATTTGTCACTTTAGAATAAATATTAAGCAAAGATTTCGAAATTGTACTAAAATATTAATTAAAAAGGAAGCAGAATTGCCTATCAATTGTATACTCAAAATTACACTAAAAAATATGGAATTAGAACTCAAAAAGAATGATCAAACTATTCATCATATTTAAGTCCCTTTGTAAGCTTAGTATCCATCATGTTCATCTAAACAAGGCACAAGCGAGAGTTTCATTTTAAGAGTCGATTAAAATAATCACTTTTAAATGAAAGCAGCAGATAATTCATAAAGAGATATAATATTGACTGTCATTAAAGGATTTTATGGTAAAGGAGTATGGAAGGATTAGGAAATTTAATAAATTGAGGAAAGTGAGGATGAGGATGAATCAGATGAACCTGAATAATAAGAATTAGAATAGAAAGTAGATGAAAATACCAAAGATGAACAATAGGAGCAAATTTAATAATAAGTTATATAGGAAGAAAATTAAAAAGTGGGAATTAAAGAAGAAGAAAAAGAGATTGCATAAGAGCAATTAAATGATGTATCAGTTGAGTCAAATATAATTAAAAAAGATGAAGAATAATAAGAAATTAAAATTCTATAAAATTAATAATAAGATGTATAATCAGAATAACAATAAGAAACATAATTAATTGAACAATCATAATCCAAAGAGTAAGATAATTTTGTAGATGAACATAAATCAGAAATAGAACAATAATAATAATAATAATAATAATAAATAATAGAATAATAAGTAAATATTGAAGATAAATAAAATACTCAAGTGATATAAGAATAGAATAAGTCAATTGAATCAACACCAATAATAACTCGAACTAAATCTGATGAAATATAAAATGATGAATCTAAAATTTAAGATTCAGAAACTATTTAAAATAATGATTAAATATAATAAAAAGATATCATTTAAGAATAATAATAATAAGAAGAGTAATAGTAAGAGTAATAATAAGAGTAATAATAATAAGAGTAATAAGAATAATAATAGTCATAATAATAATCATAATAAGAATAATAATAATAGTAATAATAGTAGTAATAATAGTAATAATAATAGTAATAGTAATAATAATAATAATAATAGTAGTAGTAATAATAATAGTAGTAGTAGTAATAATAATAGCAACAGTAATAATAACAATTAGACCTTTAATAACCAAAAATAGATATTTAATAAAATTAATCATAATCGAATGAATAATAAGAATAATAAACCAAAGATGTAGAAAATAAATAATAAATTGAGAATAATAATATTAAATAAAATGAATAAAATAATTAAGTTATTAATGAAGAATAATCATAAGCCAAATAAAGAGTCGATCATAAATTTTAATCAGTTATCATTAGCTCAGAAAGTAATAAAGAGGAGAAAGCCAGTCCTATTAAAAAAAAAGAGAAGAAAAATAATATGGATTTGTATATTCAAATAAATGAAAATGTTAAATTAAAGCAAGACATTGAGCAATATAAAGTTAATTAATAAAAGGATAATGAAACAATCTAAAAATAAAAAAAACAAGTAAGATTTTTCATATATTATAGATTCAAACACTAACAGAGTAATTGAATAATTGTACTAAGAATTATTATTTACTTGAAGAAGAATGTACAAATTAAAAAAAGATTATGCATAATTTAAATGATTAAAAAGTATTTTTATAATAGGATATCAATATGTACAAAACTTAGTTATTGGAACTAACAGAATTCAGTTCAAATTAGAAGGAAGAAATTTCATAATTATAAAAAAGATTGAAAAGATAACAACAATCTTAAGATTTGAATGAAGCCAAGAAATAAATTGAATAATTAAAGGAAGATATTGCAAAGAAAGATTTGATGTTGTAGGCTGCTAACAAGGATCATATTTTAGCCTAATAGAAAATAGAAGATTTGGAGAAGGTTATTGAAGGATTTTAGAATCAATTAATTCATGAGAAAAAGAAATATGAGAGTTTGGCTATGGAGAAAGGAATTAAGTAGCCATAAATAATTCAAAAAGATTATTCAAGATTATAATTTGAGAGACCTATTTCAAAGGATATTAAACCTGTTGCTTAATCTATGATACAATTAGATGATGCAGAGAAGTATTCAATTGATATCAGTCAAAGCATGTCTAAGTAAATATAAGATTAATAAAATAGTTTAGACAGTGATGGTGAAGTGAATCGATTGAAAAATTAGATTATGCATTTAGAAGCCACATTGAGAAGGTAATTATTTAATTTTATATATTTAAAGTTTGAAGATTGCATATGAATAGGATATCAGATATACAAAAGGTAAGTCTGGAAAATCAATGACAGGAAGTAGTAAAGACATTAAATATTTATAACATATTGCTAATAATATGGCAGAAATAATTACAGAGAAGGACTCTTAATTAGAGAATTAGAAGAAAATAAATAAGGAATTGCTCACTAAGTTATAGATTTTATAATAATAGTAATAATGAGGGATATACATATTTAATTATACTAATATTTGATTGTTAATTTATTTAAATTTAAACCGGTTAATTGATCTAATGTCTGATTTGGCTGACAAGATTGTTGTAGTTATCAGAAAGAGACCATTAGGAAAAAAGGAGCTTGCAAAAAAGGATGAAGACATTGTGGATGTTCATAGTGATTAAAGTGTGATTGTTAAAGAAGTGAAGTAATACACAATTGTAAACTTAGATAAAAGGTAGATCTTACAAAATATGTTGAAGAACATATGTTTAACTTTGATTTGGCATTTGATCAGAATGCCTCAAATTAATAAGTTTATTTGAATGCAGTTCGACCAATTATAGAGGCAGCCTTTAATAAGGCTCGTGTCACTTGTTTTGCTTATGGTCAAACAGGAAGTGGTAAAACACACACCATGTTGGGAGATGTAGAAAAATAAATACCTGGGATGTACATTTTAGCTGCTAATGACATATTTTAACTGCTATAATAAGTAATTTAAATACAATAATATTATTAGCCAGAATTCCAACATTTGATTGTAGGAGTATCATTTTTTGAAATCTATTGTGGCAAATTATTTGATCTTTTAAATTAGAGAGGGTAAATCTAAATAAGAGAAGATGCTAAAGGCAATGTTAATTTAATCAATCTTATGGAAAAGAAGGTTAATTCAGTCTAATCCCTTATGTAAATAATAACATAGGGTTAAACTGTAAGAGTGACAGGTTAATTTAATTTTTATTTTTTTTAGCTTAAAATGGAGCCAATAATGAATCATCTAGATCTCATGCCATATTATAAATCAATTTGAGAGCAGGCAAAAATGTTTTTGGAAAATTATCATTTATTGATTTGGCAGGAAGTGAAAGAGGAGCTGATGTTTAAGATTCTAACAAATAAACTAGAATAGATGGTGCTGAAATAAATAAGTCTCTTTTAGCTTTAAAAGAATGCATTAGAGCATTAGATCTAAACAAAAATCATACTCCATTTAGAGGATCTAAGCTTACATTAGTAATTTTAATTCAAATATTTTTTAGGTTTTAAAAGATAGTTTAACAGGAAATTGTAAAACAGTAATGATCGGTAATATTTCTCCAAGTTCATCAAGTAGTGAACATACTTTGAATACATTGAGATATGCTGATAGAGTTAAAGAACTTAAGAAACCATAAGATAAATAATATTAGGGAGACTATATATAAAGGGAATTAATGTTGGCTAGATAAAATAGTATTTTTATTATTTATTTTAAAAATAGCTAATATTGTAAGGAAAGCATATAAGAATCCAGATGATGAAGATGATGAAGATATCTCATGTAATTCAATGAGCAATTCCTTTTTTCCTTAATAATAATAATTATAATAATAACAATAACAGTAATTTATGTTTTAATAATAATAATAATAGTAATAATAATAATATATGATATAATAGTAATAATAGTAATAATAATAATATTAATCAACTAATTAATATTTATTTTAATAATAACCATAATAATAATAATAATTTATTCATTAATAACCTTAATAACCACAATAATAGTAATAAAATGCACCTAAATTATCTTAAATACCTAAAAATTCTTCATAATAAAGTTCTAATAATAATATTCTTAATAGATTTAATTTAGGCTCATTTCCTACTATAAATGGTGGTAGTTCCTCTAATATTATGGCAAACAACTCTAAATAATATACTTAATAATCATTTTTATAATAATAATCATCATGCAATTCCATAATGACCGAAGTTCCTCAATAATAACCTTAATTATTTCAATAATAACAATATTAATAGAATAAATCACTCTTATTCCCATAATAATAACAATAATTCAATTAAAATAACAATAATTTATTTCAAGAAAATACTTATGACTAAGGATTTTAATAATAACAATCAAATCAATTGTCATTAGATATTCGTTAAGATTCAATGGTTGAAGAAGAATTATGCATTAATAATCCTAATTATTTTAGTGTCACTGGAAGATATTCTTAAGAATCCCAATCTTCAAGATAGAGTTCTACAAGACCCTTACAAGAGATTAATAATTATGAAGGATCCAAGTACTTTAATAATAGATCATTTACAAATAATGATTATTAATATTAGTAACACATTTTAAATGAGCATAAATAAGCTATTGACAAGATAGTTGAAATCACTAAAGATGTATTGTATGATTATATCAAAGGAAATGATAAATTTATAATAAGTCTAATCTCCATAAGATATGTCATAATATGTCTCTAAAGTGATGTTCTAGTTACAAAACAAAATGGATTTAATAGGCAATTTATATTAAAAGATGAAATAATATTAAAAGGATTTTGAAACAAGAGGAATTCCATTCCAACCAAATTCACATACTTTTAGTTTATTTTAATAAGATGACAATTTACTAAATATAGATGATAATGTAGTTTGAATTATTAAAAATATATTTAACAATTATATTGAAATCAAAATTAGCTGAAATCATTATTAATAAATGACCATCCATTAATATAATTAATAGAACTAGATTTATCAGCTGATAATATAAAATCGAATGGGATGTCAAATTTTTAATTTAAAATCTCCTAATTAATAATTGGTTAAGGAGGTTTATATTTCCTATATTTATAGTTAAATTATAATTACTTTTTTAATAGATCATCCCAATTAATTTACTTAAAAAAGGGATGATCTTTTATTTCATCTGCATCTCTTGATGATGCACCTAATCTCGTCATAGGATTCTTTTCTAAAAGCAATTATATTATTGATTTGCATTCTTTTGAAATATTATCTGGAAATGAAATCTTGTTTTATTCAATATTATTCAACATTTCATCTCTATTTGGTGAGAAATAAGGAGGTTTACCACTTATCATTTCATAAAGTAAAATCCCTATATATAAATCAATTCAAAATAATACCTAAATGATACCAATCAACAGCTCTTCCATGTCCTACTCGTTTTAACATTTCAGGAGCCAAATATGCCATGGATCCACAAAAGCTTTTTGCTCCATAATTATCTCTAACTCCTTCTTTTGATAATCCAAAATCTGTCAACATGGCATGACCTTAAGTATCAATAACAATATTTTCTGGTTTTAAATCTCTATAAATAATATCATTTTTGTGAAGATGTTCTAAAGCTGTTAGAATTTCTGCAATATATAATTTAGCTGCTTATTCTGGTATTCTTTTTTAATTTTAAATAATTTTAGATAAATCTCCACCTGGACAAAAATCCATTAATAAACATAAATGTGTATTAGTTTAAAAGGCATATCTTAATTTAACAATATATGGATGATTTAAATAAGATAAGATATTCCTTTCAGCCATAGCATATCTTATTAAATTGTGTCCTAAAAATTTACTTTTAGGTAAAACTTTCATGGCATACTTTTACCCTTATGTAGTTTTACTCTAATTTCTTTTTTCAACTAAATAAACATCTCCAAATGATCCTTTACCTATTTACAATATAATTCTAATATTGGATGGACCAATCATTTCACTTTCATTTAATTAAGACTAATATTTTATAAATAATTACAACTTGATTAAGGGTTGATCGATTAGATGTTGAAAATTAATTATCTGTTTAATAAGGTGAGTAACATTTTGATGTTTATTAATATTAGTTTGTTAGATAATATTATTATTTACTAGTTGGAGAATTGACTTTCTATTGTTCTTTGGAATCATCATAGATTTAGACTTTGTGACACTAATTAAATGATTCCTTTTTCATCTAAAAATAAATTAAAAAAGAATAAAATACCCTATAATGTTTTTCAATAAGATTTTTAAGAGCATTGTTATTTTATATTAATTCTACAGGAGATTTATTATCTAAATTTTTTAAATTTAATTGCAAAGAAGGTCTTGCCAAAAGTATTTCTGCAATTCTTATATGTTCTAAAAATGAATAAATAGAAAATTAGATACAAAATAAACATGCATAATGTAATGCTGTATTTTAATGATTATCTATATGATTGATATCAGATCCTATAGTTAATAATAGAGTAGCAATAGAATCACATCCATTTTAAGCACATATGATTAATGGTGTTTAACCTTGGGAATTGACAGAATCACAATCAGCTTCATTTTTGAGAAGTAAGAGTGATAAGTCATAATTTTAATTTAGACAACTATAATGAATTGAAGCAAATCCTATTAATATTATTTATATATGTTATACCATTATCATCCTTTATATTAATTTCTGGCTTTAAATCTTTTGTAGGGATTTCCAATAATTTTTCAACTTCTTTTATATTGTTTTATTTTGCATTGAGGATGAGAGAGTGATTATTTTCTCTTTTTTATTACCACCAACCTTACCATGCTGATTTATGTCTTTTTTTTAACTTGGCCATGTAATCTTTATTAACTTGTATCTTCTCGACTTATCTAATGTCATATACAGTTCCTGTAGTAATAAGTAGAATTTGAAACCTGTGTCTTGATCTTTAAGAAGGAACATTTCGTCATTAAATTTCTATTCATACAAATTAACTGGAGCAGTGTTTGTATGAAAGTGGGAGATACGTATGTTAGATGATTGATTCTACTATGCTGTTTCACTAAATATGTTTGGAACTTACTCAAAACCTGTAGAGTTTTTAGAACTCCTCGATTTATTGCTGTTACAATTAGAAAGACTGCCCTATGAACTTTATTTTTAATGACTACTTTAATTGAGTTTAATTACTATTAATCAAGTTAATATTGTTTAGTTCTCATCATAGTTTATTCTGCATATAATTTATTATTCATAGCTGATGGCGCTCTTGGAATTTCAGTTTTCTTACTCATTGTATTTAATGTTGGAGTTACAGCATCTTGTTATTTCCTGAAAGTAGGTTAATATTGATTAGGATAAGTGGCATCTCTGGGAGTATTGATGGGTAAGATGGGATGTTTTTACATAAAATAATATTAATTTAAATTTCTTACATTTATATATAAATTGATCATAACATCATAACATGTCAATAATATCAGATATCATTTATTATTTGTTTAACCTTTATGAATATTTCTTTGTTGCCATAAAGTATTAATAAGTCAATCTTCTTCTTCTTAATAAAACTTTTGATTTTATTCTTTCATATTCCTTTCCAACCTTTATATCTTAGTTTCTCTCCTATAAATCCTTCTTATTTGCTTATAAACTCTATTGAAGTTGATCAAAGACAACATTTTAATCTCCAGGATTAGGATGACCATCTAAAATTCTTTGAACTTATTCCTCTTATTAATGAATCTATTCCTCCAATTCTTTTATTTGATTACCCAAATGATATTGCAAAGGAATAGGAAATACTGCTTTTTCACTAAAACTAATTAAATATATTTTCAAAATTCTTACTAATCATATGCTGTGAGATATTTATTTTCTATAAATATTTGACATAAATTTTTATGGAATAATTTATAATCTTTACAACTACCCTCATTATGAGACATATTCTTAAATTTAATATCTAATTGTTGTAATTATTCAAAATTTATTAATGCACTACTAAATTCATTCCAATCTAAACTGAAATTTTTTATTGGAAATTCTATTTTTAAAAATCTCACTTCAAAATAAGAAATCAAATATAAAAATTCACAAAATTATGTAAATCCTTATAAATCTAATTACATAGGTTCTACTCTATAATTAATTATTTATAATATTACGCTATTATTGACAATGAACCATTTTAGAATTTTATGCTAATTTATTTTGAAATAAATCTAAATTCTGGAATTTCTGCTGTTTTTTATCTTTTAATCAATTCATGAAGTAAATCACTAATTCCTATCCAAAAAAAATTTTCTTCAAAACTAATAATTTATTATATTTTTTATTATACATTTGAATTTCAGTTATTTATCTTTATGTAAATAATAAAAATTAAATAAGATAATTTAATTAACCAATTTTCATTAATGAAACTCCTTTTTAATATTTGATATATAATTAATATGATTGAATATCAATATATTCCTATTATTTGATTAAGGAATAGATTTATCTCAAATATTAATTATCCATATTGAATACTTCTCTTATTTATATTACCAATTAATTTGAAGGAATAGGCATTAATATATCTCTTGAAACTACTTATTAAATTCCAATTAGTTATAATCTATCAAAATTATATTAGTAACTTATTTGATCATTTAAATGACTAAAATAAACAATTATAGGTTTTCCAAAGAGACAAATCTTTTATAATAGAATTGCATTTGATCTCATTTCCTCTTATCTATAATCACTAGATTTCTGAGATCCTGTTTTTAAAGATAGTAAATTAAGAGTCTTATTTGATTTTACTTATTCTAAAAATTAACATAATTTTGTATATTCTATATTATTATTCCCCTTCAAATTTAATTTGAAAACACTAAGATATTCTAATTCTCTTAATCTTATTCCTAATTAAGTTAAATCAGGTAAGCTTTGTTATCCACCAATGCTTAGATCTAAATTAACTAGATTTCTCTTTTATCCAAGTGTATTAAATAAATTAGAAAAATCTAAATTTTATTATTGTTTTGCAAAATTTAAAGAGAGACTATTTAAATTACTACTTTTATTGATGAGTTTCTCTAATTATTCTAAACAATACTTATTAACACATATATTTCGTCTATTTAATTATTATAATTATATTACTCAAATTCTAATTCCAATATATTAACTGTTCTTAATTTTTACAATAATATAAATATATATAAAGCTTATAGATCTGTCATTTAATTAGAATCTCCAATACTTATTTTGACAATTTATAATTAAGGTGAATCTAATAATAATGCTAAGAATTTGGCTCCTCCATTTTGAAAATCATTATTCTTACCAATTTTAAAATTCAACTATTCTAATTTATTACATTAAATTTATTGCAATTAAAGTTATTTAAATATTTTAGTTGAACTTCTAAAATAATTAAATTTTAAATAAATTACCCAACTTAAAGTTTTAGATGTTTTAATTTATTTTATACTAATAATAAAATTGTTTATAATGCTTGACTTCCAATTTCATTAGAATTACCAATTTTCAATTTAAAAAATGTTATAGGTTGATTATTTAAATTTTCTAAAAATTTTGTTGAATATAATTGACAAGATTATCTTAATATTAAATAGAATAAATAAATTACCCTATTGTTAATGAAAAATAATTTAAATTATTACAATTAAGAAGAATTGGACCAAAATGATCAAGACTATCTTTAATAACATTATCATCTTCTATTTTCAATCTAAATTAATTAAATTGTAATTTAGAACTTAGAAATGCCAATTATTAAATACTAGTACTATCAATAGTTATTCCAAATCTTAATATAATGGTAGATTTACTTAAGTTTGATTGAAAAGTATCCTTTATTTAGAATAATTGTAAAATATTTGTGA